GTAAAAACAGCAGTTTCTGCTTGGCCTTCTATATCTAAGAGCCTTTGCCTTAATAGTGACCTAGCTTGATCAAACTCTAAAGTCAAAATGGCATCGTTGGAAAACCCATAGAGACTCAGTTTCTTTTGGATAGCTGTTTTCCAGGTCGTCTGAAAGTTATCTGCCAGTATTAGATGGGTCAGAAAGTTATCTGCCAGTATTAGATGGGTCAGACTATGTTAATTATTTAATACTTTCTTTTCAGTGTGTACTGGGAACATTTGAAAAAGAAAACTGAGTCTTGGTAGAATGTGCAACACTTCCCAACCAAGACAAATTTAGTGTTTCCATCTTGAAATATCTGCTGTTATACTTTTATAACTTAATAGATAATTACTTTTGAATAAATCACTATTTTTGCCAGGTAAACTTCTAAATATTTAATCTTCTTTACAGTAGTAATGAAACTTGTTATTTGATGCAAGCATCGCTTCTCTTCCAGTGTGCATCTCTCCTGGACTCCTGCTGATTTAATGCTCTCACTAGGAATGTTTCTCCAATTCCGGAGCAGCCAAATAACTTCAAAGAAGAGTTGACCATAGTCTTCCAATGCTACATTGTTACAAAAACATTGTTTTTGACTGATTATGTACCATCAAGTTGATGTCAACTCTTTGCAACCACATAGATTTTCTCCATGGTGATCTGTCCCTAACCTGGTCTTTCGGGTCTTCCAATGGTGTACTAATTGCCACTGTAGCTGAATCCATCCACTTTACTGCTGATTGTCTTCTTTTTCTTTCTTCCTTTCCCTGCTTTAGAGCCTTCTCCAGAGAGGTAGGTCTTTGCATAATGTGTCAAATTTGCATAATTTGAGCCTGGTCATTTGTGCCTTGTGTAAGAGCTCTGGCTGATTATAAGACCAGGTTAGGGACAGAACACCATGGAGAAAATCTATGTGGTTGCAAAGAGTTGACATCAACTTGATGGTACATAATCATAGTTCAATTATCCATTTGTTTATTTTCTTGGCTGTCCATGGTACTGGATCTTCTCCAATACCAAAATTCAAAAGCATTCATACTCTTTCTATCCTTCTTCAAAGTCCAAGAAGACAACATAGGCAGATGTAAACCTTAAGAATAATTATATCCCATGTTATCAGAGATCAGTTACTTAGAAAGGTAAACTGGTCAGATGTAGATCCTGGCACAGATGGCATGGCTGAATGAAGAAATCCCATCTTAGACAGCATTCTGATTGCCTATCCCCTTATTATGGACTGGCATAAAATACAGAGGTGCAGGCAAAAAAAAAAAAAAAAGGAAAAGACCCAGTCAATTTCATGGAATATTTAAGAACCCAGATCCACAGCACTTATGACTTTCTGACATAAACCCAATTTGCCCAATATTAGTAACACTTTTTGTAAAGGATCTATAGCCAAAGGTTCAGCTGCATTTAAAAACTATATTGCTATCCTGGCAAAAAAGAAAAAAAAAGCCCCAATGATATTGTTACAATGGCCACTCAGGCAATAAATTTTCTAAATGAGAAAAAGGCAGGCTGGAGAGAGAGCTTACAGCATTTCAAGTGAGTCAGCTGCAATGTCCCCACTTTCAAAACTCATATAGGTGAGATAAAGGAAAGGGCACAACTAGATACAGCAAAAGGCAACAAGCTCTGAGACAAATCTGAAACCTATAGTTTGTGGATCAAACATCCTCTACTGCACTTCTAGGATTATGTTATCCCTATGGAAATCCTGAGCATTGGAGAAAAAATTGTCGTAAGAATAACACAGAAATTATACTTAAACCTGCAAATGAGGGTTTGCCTCAATAAGCTAGTGCAGATGGTAGCATCTTACTTCTTTTTATTTTTCTTTCTGTCTCTGAACCCTTTATTAACTGCACCCATAGGAGGAAAAACATCCTTTGCCTCCTAGATACTGGCGCTTTTTATTCTGTCAGAACTTCAGAATTCTGAAATGTTAGTTTCTCCTGCTCTGTGGTAAATGCAGTTGGAATTTCTAATCAATCTGAGCCATCCATTATGTCTACAGGACTTATTTCTCAGCAGCCTGCCTTTCTCCTAAGTCCCTCTTTTCTGTAAATATCTCTGAAAGGGATTTGCTGTACAAATTAGGAGCCACTATATATTGCACGCCAGACAGAACATATTCAGATATACCTTCCCAGAATGAAGCAGCAATGATTTTACTGGTAATGCCTCCTGGGAGGAAAGCCATCCTGAGCTTTTAGATGATTCCACTTTAAAACAAGTTCCAGACATTTTGTGGGCCAATCATTCTAATGAAGTGGGACACAAAGCTTTAGCCCAGCTTGTTAAAATTCAAATTGATCTTACAAAGACCTTGTCCAGGAAAATACACTATCCCTTAAACTGAGAAACAAAGGAATTAAACCAGAAGAAAAGCCTCTTCCCAGCTTTCTCTCGTTGTTAATAGCACAACCTCCATCTATAGAATGTCAGTCTAATTCATAAAAGTATTTATATACCAACTTAATTCAAAGAACCCAGGGCAGTTTAAAATATGACAAAATAAAAACAAATACAATGAAACTAGCCAACATAAATAGTACCCACAGAAGTCAACAATCAAGGTAGTCCAGGTCCACCATCTGCACCAAAAGCCTTTTGGAACAAGTGGTTTTAACAATTTTGCAAAAAGAACAAGGCAGGAGCTCCGCAAAGTTCAGGAGACAGGATTCCATAACATGGGGGCTGCCACAAAGAAAGTCCACCTTGAACCTCCCACTGTTTTCACTTCATATGAGCTAGGATCCTCAGCAGGCCCTCTCAGTATGAGCATACAGGATAGGTTAAGTCTGTTTGTCATGTTGTAATCTCTTCCAAACCTTTGGGACAGCTAAATTAGATATTCAAATGAAGCATCATTCTAACAGATATACAAAGAAGAGATCTTACCAGCTGAATAAGCAAACCAATCAAGTCAGTCAGGGGTTTATTGATAAGGAGAAGATCTTCAGCAGTTTGGGTATCCCCTCCAGTGCCAGATTTCTGTGCCTTAATAAAAGAAAATATAAAGAGTCTTAGGAAGAAAATATTAAAATTATCACCTACCTAGCCTTTTCAAGATCAAAATATTCTAACCCTGTAGAACTTCTAAATTGGAAGCATAGATTGGAAAGCAGATCTCCTTTTATATCTATCCTCATCAAATCAGCATTTCAACATGCTGTAGTAATTCATGATTAAAATGAAAGTTAAAATTATGAAATAAATTTCACAGAGAAAAAAATAACTTTTAAATAATTGTTAATATAATCTTTAAAACTGTTTGCTATTGTGTTAATTTTTCAACCAATACCATTTTCCATTTTTATATAAAAAAGCTAGTGCTAATCAAGTATACTCATTGAGAATGCATATTATTTAAGCCATAAAAATACATGTTGTTTTTATTCCGTTATGTTTGTGTTCTGTTTATGAGCCCCTACATGTGAAAATTGGATTAGTAAATGGGACTCTAATAACATTCAAAGGAAGGAGACTAAAGTTCTGTTCAATTATGTTCATTCTACTAGAAAACAGGCTCTTTACCTGTAGTGTTAAGCGAACAATGTTAGCTGTACATGTCAACATACGATGCAGTATACTGAGCAAGGAGACAATAAATATATTGGTTGTCTTGATGTTGCTTTTATCATCACCATCCAAGCATGTAGCTGCGGTTTCCATTAGGAGATTACATACATGATGGACTAGTCCTAAACAGATAAGCACAGAAGAAGATATACATATGTGTAAAGAAACTTCATACATTCAAAACTCTACCATTAGAAAATAATTCAATAAATATAGGTGTGTCTGTGTGTGTGTGTATAACTGTTTATAAACATAAATGTATGATTCAGGATTTTTTTCCTTCCATATTTTAAATGAGAAATAAGAACTTAAATTATTATAAAAACCTGTTAAATTCATATTAAGGAAATATCTTCATTGCACCAATTCAAAGATTATAGAATCATACAAATTGGAAGGCATCATTAGGCCACCTAATCCAAACTTCAGCTGGTGTAGGAATCCAAATTAAAGAATCCATTACAGATGATTGGGTAATCTCTGCATGACACATCCAGTGAAGGATAACTCAACCCATCACTGGATAATAGGTCCACTGCTGAATTGATCTTACAGTTAGGAAGTTACCATCTTCCCACATCCTACTCTCTGAAACAATTCTGAACATGTTTTGACTTTAGTATTTCTTTCCAACATTCTTTCCAGTATTTGAAAATTGCTGTGGCACCCTTACTAAACATTCCTAGTTCTTTCAAACTCATCATCAGACTTAGTTTCTGCTCTGCTGATCATATTTCCTACTCTTCTTTGAATCTGTTCCAATATGTCTGAATCCTTCTTAAAGTGTAGAATCCAGAACTGGACACAATATTCAAGTTGCAGAATAAAAAGATTTGGAAACTAGATGCAGTCTACGAGTGCATTTTCCTTTTTTGCAGCCACCCCACACTGCTAAGTCACCTTCAGTTTAGAATGAACTATTATTGCAATATTTTTTCACAAAATTTTTTATCAAGCCAAGTATCCCCCATTATATATCTATACACTTGTTTTATGTTGCCCAAATGAAGAACTTTGCATTTGCTTCTGTTAAATTTCATTCTGTTACTTTAACTCATTTTTCTAAATTTTCATGATTGTGTTGAATTTTATTACTTTTTTCTAGCTATTCTATCAAATGTTATCTGCAAATATAATAAGCATTCCCTCACACCTTTCCATCTGTGTCTTTATAAACAGTTAAAGATTATTAATAGAATAAAAATGTGCATCTTTCTACCTTTTAATAATATGTTGTCTGTTTAAGAACCCTCAGAGCCTTGCATTTGTCTAAAATCTTTAAGCAGAGTTTAAAAGTTTTTTAAAATAAATATTTTCCTAAGCCAAAACACGTTACCTTTGCTTTTTATTAAATATGTTCTGATGGAAGAAACTGATAGAAGACTCAGGATCTTCAATGAAATATGTAAACATATGTTAATATGCAAATTGATTGTTTAATTGTTATGCTTTCCTTGATTAAAGGTTCACTTCCAACCCAGCAAGGACTAAACAGGAATATTTTCACTGTCATTGTTTTCTGTCAAACAATCAACCAAATTGAGGCCAGTCTTGCTCTAGTTCCTTAGCAACTGACTGAACTATCATAATGAAAATCAAAATCAGAATAAATATATTAGGCCACAACTAGGTAATAATATAGCAACAATGTAAAAATATTTAAAATGCAAAATTGCTAGAAGGAAGATGACTATTGAGGACAAAAGGGAAACCAATCAACAGAGGATACGTATGGAGTTCTATTGGGGTGAGCAAAGTCAAGTTGGAAAGCAGTTGGAAAAGCAGAGATAAGGAGGCTGAGGATAAACAGCTATAAAAACAAAATGCTATGTTAAAGGTGATGGAAAGGGCCTAATATAAGTATTTCAGCTGGGAGACATTTGAGAGGAAAGATTCTTGTTGAGAGTTCAACTACTATGGAATAACAACTGAATAAACTGACAGCAAAGTTATAGCATATTATTATTTGAAAGATCACTTCTTTCTGTATACTCTTACTTGAACTCAGAGTCATTATTAGAAAGCCTCATCTGAGTGTTCTCATATGCAGAAGTCGTGGCCCCAAGCCTATTGAATAACCTTCCCAGAAAGATCTTGTTGGTATCTGTTTTTATTCTTTTAGCACCCAATTCTTTTTCTTGTATTTGTGTTATGTTGTTTTAAAGAGTATTTTGTCTTTTGGGGGGTAGAAATTCCTGCCTTTCTTTAAGCACTGTCAATTCACTGTTATTTTATTATTTTTCCCTATGTTGTCCTGAAGGCATTTGCTATAGAGTGACTAATATTTAAAATAAATAAATGAAACCTCTTGCTTTATGACAATTACAGACCCAATCGCATACTAAAGATTGCCCAACTTGAAATACTCCTACAGGTAGTCCTTGCCTTATGACCATTCGTTTAGGGACCATTCAAAGTTACGATGGTGCTGAACGAATAGTGGTTATGACTGATCCTCTGAGTTACAGCCATCCCAGCACCCCTGTGGTCACATGATCACAATCTGGGCACTTGGCAACCTGTTTGCACTTACTTAGTTGCCATGCACCCTGCGAAAAGAGTCAATGGGGAAGCCAGCAGGGAAGCTCGCAAGTCACTGGGGTAAGTCTCCTCCACCCGTGCACCTTCCCCAGCCCCTCTGCCCTCATGCACCTCACGCACCCTCCCCGACCTGCATTGTACCTCTTGTGCCCCCTCACCAACCCACGTGGCATCTCTTGTGAACCCCCATATACCTTCCCCAACCCATGCCTCTCGCGCATCGTTGCACCCTCTCCCCAACCCACGTGGCACTTCTTGCGCACCCCCATGCGCCCTCCCAACCTGTATTGCACCCTTGCACACCTTCCCCAACCCTCCTCTGCACCCCCTCACTCCCCCTCCTACCTGGCAGCTGCCTGCCAGCCTAAGTCTTGCAACTTCCCACTGACTTTGGTTGTGGGAAGCTAGCAGGAAGTTGCTTCCCTAATGATCGTGGGATTCAATTAACAATGACAACTGGGGCTGCAAGGATTGCCATCCCTAAGCAATGCAGTCACACTTTATTACTGCATTACTTAGCAATGGAAATTCCAGTCCCAATTGTCGTCGTAAGCCAAGGGCTACCGGTATAAGGAAATTTGTTTTGTATTTCTACTATCTATGGCTTTTGCTTTCTATTTTATGTTTCAAACTGAAGATTTGGGCTGTGGTTTTTAAAATATTTTGTAAACCACTCTGGACAAGTTTTTTTAAATAATTCTTCTAAACAAATAATCCAGCTATATTGCATCCTAGAGTTATGTTCCATGGTGATACCAATAAAAACATGAGCTTAATTAAAATGAATTTTCCCAATTTTTTCTGCTATGTAATATTCTTGCATTAGAGAAGCCTAAATATCAATAGTCCATCTGGATGCTGAAAATTCAAATTTCTGCAGCTCATTCTAGAATCTACATGGAAAAGTTTATATTTGATATGTGATGCCTTTTCTATCCAGGGAAAACATTTGAATCTATTAAAGTGAAGAGCAATTTCCTTTATTCAATATCAACCACAAAATAACAAGGCATAATCTTTCTCCTATTATGAAAAAGACCTGTGGGTTTGCATTATACTAATTAAGCCACAAGCCATGGTTTAAAAAGCGTAATAGCTTTGTTCACAGATCCCACTAAACCAAAACAACAAAACACGTTATGATTAATGCCAAGCAGAGACCCAACCACTGTGTTATTATGAGTGATATTAAGAACATGAAAAAGAAAAAATCAGCAGATTTCTTAGTGGAAAATAAAGAACTTTTGGAAGATGTTTAGAAAATATATTTTGATATCTGTTCTTTATCACAATCTTATTCAATACATAAATGCTGAAAAACTCTCCCAAACAATAAATATTGGACACAGATGTAGTATTTATTCTTAAAACACTATAATTAAAGATAGTTTTTAGCCATTTCAGGGTAATCAGAGTAATATCGCGAAAGCAAATTGAATTAATTTTTTATTATAGAGACCCGTTGTGTAAGTCAATCTTATATGAGTCAAATTTTTAGTAGTAAAAATAAAATGCTGCATAATTAAGTACAGAGGCAAACATCATATTCCACAGAAATTATTTGTGACATAAGCCAGACTCTATAAGACTGATAAACTACTAAGTCTGAAACTTTTTAAATGAATGAATAAATCATACAACAAATCTGCTTGTCTCCAAAAAAAAAAAAAAATGCACTGGTGCTTAAACATTTGTGAACCCTTTCGAATTTTCAATATTTCTGCATAAATATGACCTAAAACATGATCTGTTCTCCATACAAGTCCTAAAATTAGATTTAAAAAAAACCAGTTAAACAAATAAGACAAAACATTATACCTGTTCATTGGTTTATTAAGGAAAATGATTCAAGCTACATATTTGTCTGTGGGAAAACTATGTGAACCTTTGCTTTCAGTAACTGGTGTGCCCCCTTGGGCAGCAGTAACTACAACTAAACATTTCCAATAATTGCTGATCAGTCCTGCACATCAGCCTGAAGGAATTTTAGCCCATTCCTCCTTACAGAACAGCTTCAACTCAGGGATGTTGATGGGCTCCCTTGCATGAACGAACTGCCCTTTGACCATTCTTTGGTCATACAACTTGGGTGTTTTGGGTTGTTGTCCTGTGGCACAACCCATTTTCTCTTGAGCTTCAGTTCATGGACAGATACCCTGACACTTTCCTGTAGAATTTGCTGGTACAATTCAGAATTCATACTTCCATTAATGATGGCAAGCCATCCTGGTCCAGAGGCAGCAAAGCAGGCAGAAACCATGATATTGCCACCACATTTCACAGATGGGATAAGGTTCTTATGCTGAAATGCAGTGTTTGCCTTTCGCCAAACATAACACTTTTCAGTCAAGCCAAAAATTTTTATCTTGGTCTCATCCATCCACAGAACATTCTTCCAATAGCCTTCTGGCTTAGCCACATGGTCTTTTGCAAACTGTAGACAGGCAGCAATGTTCTTTTTGGAGAGTAGTGACTTACTCCTTGCAACCTTGCCACGCATACCATTACTGTTCAGTGTTCTTCTGATTGTGATCTCCTGAACACTGACATTTGCCAAAACAAGAGAGGTCTTTTGTTCCTTAGACATTACCTGGGGTTCTTTGAGACCTCCCAGAGTATTACATGCCTTGTTCTTGATGTGAACTTGGTT